CAACAACCACCCCAACAACAACAACCATCCCCAAAGCAACAGCCATCCCAACAGCAACAGCCACCCCAACAGCAACAACCATCCCAACAGCAACAGCCGTCCAAAAAGCAACAGTCATCCCAAAGGCAACTCCCAAGACATTAATACCAAAGCCAGGTAAGCCTTGCAATACATTTGTTCATTTACCAGATGTCCTTGCCTCTCTGCATTTGTACCTGCTTTGTGCATAGAAACTATACCAACTATAAATAGTTTATCTATTTGCAAATGGGCCAGTTGAATCTAACCAAATTTTTAGGGCTTTTCAAAGCTTTGGGAGATCTTCTGGCTCTGCATCCCAAGATGAGCAAAGTTTACTTTTCAGTGCTTGAGCAACTTACAAGTACCTGGCAGTAGGAGATTCTCTTTCATTCTTGTGCTAGCTCTGATCATAGCTACCTTTCTATCCAAACAACTAGTTTCACGTCCATGGATTCCCATGTCAAAATCCAAATGATTTTTCCAAGTGAGTGGAGTATCAGAACCCAGAGGCAGTGAGATAGAATACCAGAGACAAAATAATGAACTTTGAAATCAGGACACCTGAGTATAAATCTGCTACTTACCAGATGCAGGATTTAGGTTGAGTCACCTTGCTTCTCCAACTTCCAGTTTCCTCATAGATAAAAATGGCACGTACCAGTACCCTTCTGTTTATCCTCCAGTGTTATCATAAAAACGAAGGTGGTACACACACTTGAAAGTGTTTCAAAAAATCACAAATCACCATGCAAATTATATAAAATGTTTTCCTGCATTTACCCAAAACAGACTGCCATATATCTCTGCCAAAGTAGATAATCAGTTGGTGGATTTGTTTAGGCTAAATGTTATTGACAAGCCTAATGACATAGAACTCTAATTGATGGTTAACTATTGACTGACTCCACCAGGTTCTCTGTCTCTAATAGTAGTACGGGGTGGGGAGCTCAGGCACCTCCTGCAAGGGTGCCATGCTCCAGAGGACAGTCACCAGGTTTCCATCTGCAGAGGGCTGGCCAGAGCTGCGGCTGATGGATGGTTCTGGACGCTGCTCGGGCCGTGTGGAGGTCCTCTACCGGGGGGCCTGGGGCACTGTGTGCGATGACCTGTGGGACCTGAATGAAGCTGAAGTTGTATGCAGACAACTGAGGTGTGGCCCGGCCATCTCTGCCCTTGGGAAAGCCCACTTTGGCCCAGGGTCAGGGCAAATCCTCCTGGACAACCTCCAATGTGCTGGAGTGGAGCGCTTCTTGGGCCAGTGCACCCACTCAGGCTGGTCGGAGCACAACTGCGGTCACCACGAGGATGCCAGCGTCATCTGTTCAGGTACCCTCTCCCCTCTCAGATGGGCACTGACAGTGCCAGAGTGATCCAAGACCATCCTGCTAGCATTCGGAGTTAGCCAGGAACAGAGACAGTATCCTCAAACCCGTAGTGTTTGATTCTGCGGTACCTCTTGGTTAAATAGATGTGGTTTAACTACTGGCCTCCAGAATAAATCCTTCTGTTTCTCATTTGACAGTAAGAATTACCAGAGTGTGTGTGCACTCTATTGAAACATGCAGAGCACATTTTTAATTAAGGGAACTCTCCGAGCACTTATATAAAAGCGCTCATGGAAAGAGGCAGCCTGATCCAGTCAAGCTGGGCAAGAATTCAGAGAGATCAGGCATGAGTCCGCCTCTCAGAGCTGGTGCTAACACTCACACTATATTGGTGCAGCATTTAAACACTCAGACTATTTGCTCTCCTACAGTATTCCCAAAAGAAGCAGAGATGTGTTTTGCAATGCACTCGTATAGAAACTGACAAAGAGGCTCCAAATCTGACCATTCTTAAACAGTCATAACACTAAGGAAATCTGTGAGCTCAAGTTACTAATTTTAGTTTCACTATAGCAATTTTTTAAAAATACTTACATTTACTCATGCGCAAACAGCTGAGAATAAGTCACCTCCGGAATGTGTATTGATAACCCTCTCTGGTAATGAGATGCCTCCGTAAACTAACAGCTGTAATCCTGAATGTGACTTGAAAGTGGTATTCTCTACCTAGAGCAGCCCGTGTGGGCAGAAGCTCCACTGTATGTCCCTACCTGTGGCTTTGAATTTAAGGTATATATTTAAAAGCATTGTCATGTGTGTTGGTATAGGTATGTGTTCACTCATTGGCTTTCTGACACCTTATTGTAGTGGCACCTATAACCTAGTTACAAGACACATGGGCACAAGTTATTCCCAAATTTCAATATTCTAGAAGATTATTGGCTAATCTGAGGTCCCCCGCAAAGGCCTTCAAAGGGAAATTTGTCTGCTATAATTTCAACAGTATAAGTCAGATTATCCCAAGTATATCCCTCCATATCTGGCCATTTTCTCAGAAAACAGCAGCAAACCAACACCCAGATGAAAGCTTACTTTTATTTCTATAGATGAAACTGCTTTCCCCAGTACTATGTATTTAAAGAGATTAACGTTTCCCATATTGGATTAATAAACATGTATAAGGATATAATTAAAACTTCGTTTTTAGCTGCTAAAATCAGATTTCTGGAAAATGCTGACATGTTTATTTTCCCTTTTTATAGATGCTGAAGAATCTCTGTCTAACAGTCCAGGTCAGTAGTACCTTTTGTTGGTGGAAGTCAAATATCAGGTAGACTTGACTTTGTCCTTGAGCCATGTGTTCTTCTGGCTCTGAATTCACTGTTCCCTTCTTTTGAAACTGCAGAGAATTACACACTGTTAAGTTGCCATTAGAAAGTCTTCTCTCTTTTTTGGTCTTTTTTTGGGGGGAGGTGGTTTGTTTTGTTTGTTTTGTTGGGTTTTTTTGGTACCAGGGATCTAACTCTGGAAAGCCTTGATTTCTATTTTTTTTTTGGTACCAGGGATCAAACTCGGGTCCTTGTGCTTGCGGAGCAAGCAGTGGAGCCACTGAGCTAAATCCCCGGCCCTTCTTTTTTTTTCGTACTGGGGATCAAACTTGGGACCTTGTGTTTGCAAGGCAGACGGCAGAACCGCTGAGCTAAATCACCAGCCCTAGAAAGTCTTATTGGCATTAATTTTGATTTTTCACATGTGATAATGACATTCTGTGTGTGTGTGTGTGTGTGTGTGCATGCAAGCACATGTGTATTTTCAGAGACATGTGAAGAACTACTAGCGTGGTGATGCACGCCTGCAATCTTAGCACTTGTTCACAGTGAGTTTGAGGTCAGCCTGACCTAGATAGTGAGTTCAAGGCCAGTCTAATCTACCTAGCAGGACCCTGTCTCAAAAAGCTGAGGGAGACAGAGAGAGACAGAGAGAGACAGAAACAGTGAAATAGCATTTCATGGTCTTTTTGAATATCTTCCCTTTAGCTCAAGGACTTCCCCTGCTTGTCCCTTGACTAACTCCTTCTCAGTGCACCAGTCACAGTGTGGAAAAGTACACTGTACCCTGTACCGGTGTCTGCATTTCACTAGTAAATAGACTCTGGGCTCTCTGAGGACAGAAACAATATCTCTTTGGTTTATGACTGAATTATCAGTACCTGATAGGGAAGACAATCAATAAGTACTGTTGAAGTGAAATTAAATTTGTTGCAGGCCTCACAACTAGCAACTGAGGAACCCATGAGAAATGTGAGGAACAAGCCCCTAGGCTTGAGATTGGGGCTGTCCCCTTCCAGCCCCTCTTGGAGCCTGATGCTGCTAGACCCCCATGTGAACCTTTAGGGGCCCTCACACACCACCTCTCTCTCTGCAGGGAACTGGCCAGAGCTTCGGCTGGTGGGTGGCTCTGGTCAGTGCTCAGGTCGTGTGGAAATCCTCCACCAGGGAATCTGGGGCACTGTGTGTGATGACTTGTGGGACCTCAATGAAGCTGAAGTTGTGTGCCGGCAGCTGGGGTGTGGTCAGGCTGTTTCGAGCCCTGGAGAGGCCCACTTTGGTGCTGGCACAGGAGACATCTTACTGGACAACCTCCAGTGCTCTGGGGTGGAGCATTTCCTGGGCCAATGTGCCCACCTGGGCTGGTCAGAGCACAACTGCGGCCACCATGAGGACGCTGGTGTCATCTGCTCAGGTATCCACTTTCTTCTCAGGCAAAACTTTCTACTCTTATGATGTAAGGTCTGTTGGAGGTCTTTCTTGGGTGAAATTTTCCTCTACCCATGCATTCATCCACTCATTCTTGAGTGTCTCTTCAGGGCTAGGCCCTTGGCTCAGCCACAGACCCTGCATGGGCAGTTCCGGGTTTGCATAGAGGAGGCCTTGATGCCCATGGGCACCAACATGCCTAGGGCATTATAATGCAGATTCAGGGCCATGGCCCCAGAGACTATGTGGGTACTCAGGAGTCTACATGTTAACAAGTAGCCCAGGAATTCCACATAGGAGAAGCCAAGGGTGATCTTGCCCTGGCTGTCTAGGGGCAGAGTTGATCTAACTGCTAAGTCCCAGATTCCTAGATCAAGGATTCTGCCAGAGGAGAGTTGAAGATGCCCAAGGGGCAGCTCTGGTACTCTGAGTTCCGATACCCAGAAAGGCCATGGTCCTGTCTCCTTTATCTCCCTCTGGGACCCTTGTTACCTCACCTCTTCCATACATTGGATTAAAGAGAGTGACCTGTTTGTTACCTTTCTTTGTGCCTGCAGATGCAGAAGACATGTCTCTACCTACACCTCCAGGTATGTCTATATTTTTCCTAGTTCACGCAACTTGCCAATAACAACAACAACAACAAGAAGAACAGCAAATATTTATAAATACTAAGTGCCAGACATTGTCTTGAGATACTTACATATGTACAGATACCCCTCAAATTACACTGAAGTTACTTTCCCATAAACCCACTACAAGTTGAAAATAGCATAAGTTAAAAAATTCATTTTGTACACCTAATCCAATGAACTTCATAGCTTAGCAACCCAGCACACTGTAGAGTGTCAGCTTTGTTACAGTGTGGCTGACTGGGAGCTGTGGTTCACTGCCAGTACCTGGCATCTCAAGAGAACAGCACATCATCCCAGGAAAAAAATTCAAATTCAAACTTCAAAGTATGGCTTCTACTGAATGAATATTGTTTCATACCACTGTAAAGTAGAAAAATGATTAGTCAAATCCCTCCTCAATCAGGGACCATCTGTAATCCCCACAATAATCCTTTGTGGTAGGTGCATTGATTATTTACATTTTCTAGATAAGCTGAGACTTAGAAAGTCAGAAAAGTACTAAAGGATATCCAGGCCTGGTGGTGCATGCCTGTAATCCCAGCACTGGAGAGGCTGAGTGAGGCAGGAGGATCATGGAAAGTTCAAGGCCAGCTTGGGCTGCATAGTGAGATTAAGGCCAGCCTAAAGTACATAACAGGACCCTGTCTTAAAGAAAGAGAGAGAGAGAGAGAGAGACAGACAGACAGGGAGGGAGGGAGGGAGGAAGGAAGGAAGGAAGGAAGGAAGGAAGGAAGGAAGGAAGGAAGGAAGGAAGGAAGAAACCCATTGGATTTAAATCCAAGCTATCGATGCTTTTGACTACCAATTTTATTTACCATCCCATATACTGGCCTCAGATACACAAAGATCAGGGAAAACTACAGCAAAGATGAGGAGATATTTTGCCCAGATTATTGCTAATCATCAAGACAGTCCTACAGAAATGCATTATGTGTTAGGTTTTATAGAACAGACATTTGAGACAGAAGAAGTTTAAGTAACTTTCTCAAAATTAATGAACAAGTTATAGGTGACCAAGTTTTGACGGTGATCACAGTTTGATCCCAAAGTTCAAGCTCTTGGAGATCTTGTGACTTCTTTCCACTTTCACAGTTCTTATGATTGAATGATATCTATCTGTAATAAGAACCAGAGATCAAAAAAATCAGACCAACACATGCACTGCAAATTCTAAAATGATGTTGGGGATGAATGAAAAGGCATTTCCTTGGCAGCAAGCATGATGCAAGGGTTTCTGGATAAATGAACTTATTTAGTCCTCACTGTTGAAGATTAGGGAGATCAAAAAGTCTGCCCAGGGCTGGGGATTTAGCTCAGTGGTTCCGCTGCCAGCCTCACAAGTGGAAGGACCCAAGTTTGATCCCCGATACCAAAAAAAAAAGAGTCTGCCCAAGATAACTCTATTAGAAAGAGAAAGAACTAGAATTTACAAAGCCATTCTTTATCCTTTAAATGTACTTGGATGTCCACATACAGCCTCAGAGACTATATACAAGTCACTGGCAGAAATATCTCTCTTGCTGTTTGTCTGGAGAAGACCTAGATGTATGCTGGGTGTCCAGAAGGAATAAATAAAAGTCAATAAAGGGAGAGGAGAAAGAAGGGCTGTCTAAAGTTAAAAACCCAGGTTAGGGCCAAGAGCAGTGGATATGCAAATGGAAGCTCATTGCTTATCACCGTTTTCTCATTTCATGTCAATTACATGGATGCTAGAGATATGAAGAAAATATTGTTGAGTGAAAGAAGTCATTTTGCTTATCTGCTACCCTAAAACTTAGTGATCTAAAATAACCACCATTTAGATACAGGCCATGCTTTGTGGGTTGAGAGTTTGGGCAGGGCTTGGCTGGGAGATTCTTTTGTCCACCTTGTCCACCGGAGCACTGATCAGTCACTCAGTGGTGTCCATGTGGTGGCTGGTCTGAAGAGTTCAAAGTAGTCTCACTGACATTTGGTCCCTGGGTGAAGACAGCTAGAAGGTAAGGCCCTCTTCTTTCCAGGTAGTCTCAGCAGAGTGGCCTACACTTCTATTCATGAGCCAGTGTGCTCAGAGACAAGAAGTGGGAAACACTGGATCCTCAAGGCACAGCATCACTTCTGGCTCATTCTGCTGTTCAAAGTAGTCACAGAGCCCACTCACATTCAAGAGAGGGAATCTAGACCCCACCCCATGACAGAAGGCATATTCAAGATCTTGGGGCCTGCTTTAATTCACCACAGGACCATAGAAAATATTCACTCAGCACCTTCAAATTCTTCACTTTACACCAAATTCATTGATGTTTCTGAGGAACCCTTATATTTCCCTAACTTGTAGATGAGATATTTTTTCCTATATGTCATTATTATCTCCTTTTCTCCCTACCAGGTCTTTCCACAACTTCTCAGGATCATATCACAGGTAGTAACTTGTTTAAAGTTAAAATGGTAACTTTATGTTAAGGGATCCTCCCAGCAGAAGTCAATGTGTCAGGGATGTGGCACGAAAGAGACACTGGCCCGGTGTGGATAAGGGATCTACTTTGCCATTCTGTAAATTCTGACTACATAAGGAGCAGGCTAGGAAGAAGGGATATGATCATCCCAGGCCAGAGTATGCAGGAGGGTGACAAGAAAGTGGGGAACATAGCTCATCAGTCCACCTGGCTCATGCTCAGCCTACTATAGCAGGCACTCCACCATCCCCTGTGGTACACCTGTAGTGATTACAGGAAATTCAGCTCCCAGGAGCTTCAGGATCAGGCTGACCTGGCCCAGTTATTGTCACCTTCAAATGTGATTAATGACAGACCTACAGGATGCCCAGAAACATCACCATGTTCTACCATTCATCTCAGGATAGACTAGGAAACTTGGGCACTCTGGGAGGAATTACAAGTTGGTCAGAAGGAGAGAAAAAACATTAAGCAACTTCATAATATTTAGGCACAAAGTAAATAAAGTGTATTACATTTTCAAATTTCCTCCAAAATAATTTGATGACTCTAAATTTTCTGCTTCTTTATGTGGTGTATTTCTTTAAATATGCACATATATAATATGTGTGCACATCAATTTTTAGTAATATGGCAGCTAAAAATGAAAGAATTAGATTTCAATGTTATCTTGTTTCACTCTTATAAGTCCAAAACCCTGCAAGTTCATGTCTGAATATACTGAGTAAAGAAAATGTAATCTATGCAGCATGTGATGATAAAGTACTTAGATGAGGAACCAGCCATGACCACCTGAAACAGCACACAGTGTCTCTTTGTCTTCATGTCCCATTCATCAGGCTCCAAAGTTGTTCCAGAGCCTCTGGCTCTCCAGACTTCCTCAGACTGTCCTCACACTGGTCTGTATAGCCTGTCTCTATGTCCTTCCCAATGTCTCATGTATACCTATTCTCTCTCCTAACAAGCAAATATATTTCCACTTTAGAAAGGGAGAGAGGCAGTAAGGAGAAAGGACAAGTATAGTATTTCTTTATCAGGTGTAGAAGGAGAGGGAAAGACAGGGAACTCTCACCGTGTGATTTTTTTGTGTGTGTACCAGGGATCGAACTTGGGACCTTGCTCCTGCGAGGCAGACAGTGGAACCACTGAGCTAAATCCCCTGCCCACCCTATATTTTTTGACCCATCAAAATGAGATTGAATGGATAGCCCTTCTCAAGAGATATTTAAGCTAAAAATCTTCTCAGCCACCAGCTCCACTTGACCACTGAGTGTGAGCTGGGCATTACTAGGATCACATAAGTGACATCATGTGGCCGCATCCTGACATCTTTTTTCTGTTTTTTCAGGAGGAAGTAATTCTTGTGGAGGGGTCATTTCTAGTCTCTCTGGCTCATTTTCTAGTCCACAGTATCCAGAAAACTACCCAACAGACATCCAGTGTATTTGGGAGATTCACGTGGATAAAAAATTCCGCATAGAACTCATGATTCCAAGTTTGAAGTAAGAAAACAACTTTTAAAGGGAAAGTTTTATCTAAATAAAAATATTGGTGTATGCAATTATAACAAAGATATTTCTTCTAGTGGGAAACACTTAATGGTGAAACCAGAAGAACATGAAACTCTACAGTCTTTCCTAGTCAATGTTCTGGTTAATTTTGTAGTGCTCTCCAGAAAGTCACTTGTAGCCTGAAAAACTCAATAAGTAGTTTAACATATTTGACTCAACCTAATATGATAGTTTTCCTTTTTATTTTTCCTTAAAAATGCTTAACACCTTTCCCCCTGTAGTGTACTATGTACTTATATTTGTCCTCTCTGACTTTGTTTTTAAATCTAAATTTAAACAAACAGTAAGAGACTTCTACATACATTAGCCAGCTACTCCACCCTTGAGCTGTGTAGCTATGAAATGTTCCACAAAGTGAGAGAGAAGAGACTTTGCTTCCTCTCTGACATGAAGAGAATAGATGGCCCAAGCCACTTCCATTTTTATCTCCATGATATAAAACAATAGTTTACATTTTAAAATCCTGATTTTGTGCCTAGGCTCTATAGTACATGTTTTTATGCTTTGTTATATTCCAGGGTCATTAGAAGTTCTTCATCATCCCTATTAAAGATGAGGAAACTGAGGTTCAGATAAGATAACTAACTTTCCTAAGGCCCACCTATGTAGGCCATATATTAGTCAGCTTTCCTGTTGCTGGTACACAAAATACATGACACCAACAACTTAAAGGGGGAGAGCTTTATTTTTGGCTCATGGTATCACAGGTTTAGTCCATGGTTGGCAGGCTCTAAGGCAGAAACATCGTGGAAGGACATTGTGGAGCAAGACCACTCATTTCATGGCAGCCAGAAAGCAGAGCACAGGGCAAGAGCACCAGCAAGATATAGATATACCCTCCAACAGCTCACCCCCAGTGACCTACCTCCTCCAACTGGGCCACACCTCCTGACAGCATGTTCAGCTATGAAATCAGTGGATGAATCCACTGGGGAGTGCAGTGCCCCATGATTCAATCATTTATCCAGGAGTCCCTTAGTCCAGTCTAGTTAATAATTAAGATTAAGTGGCACAGTTTGTCTGAGGTCAGAACCCCAGCTCTTCACCAGTATCTGGTTCTGTGAACAGCTTACTCAAAGTCCATCTTCTTGTCATATGTGACATACATCATGTTATACCTACAGCAAGGCTATGGAATTCCATAGTAAACTAGCCTCAGCCAGGTACTGAGTTATTGTTCAGTCATGGCTATACCAAGGCCACGGACTCAGACATCCTTATGCGGCCCCCCCAAAGGCTCTAACCATGTTACCATGCTATCTTTGTTGACTAAGACCCCCTACCTCCCAAATCTATCATGTTATTATTAGTTGTCTGTTCCTTCAAAAATCACTCCTCATCACATCATTCACAAATAATTTCCATAACACAAGTAATCTTCTACATGCTACCATTTTCATTTTAAAATCTTCTTTTTCTTCCCAAGAACTTGAGACTCTGTGATATCTTTTACATGCTAATTACTGGAATGAGCTATTAAGAATTTTGTTGAAGTGTAAATTAATGTTTATTAATGTCCCACATAGGTTGTGACTGGCCAAAGCCATTATGATTTTAAAACTTCTGTTATAAAGTTATAACCATAAACTTCACACATTCCTCAGGCAAAGAAAATATAGTTCTTATAAAACATCTGAAAAGTTAATGAATATTTACTGTGCTACTTAAGCTATAATCCAAATATTTGAGCTCTGTGGTTATCACACTTTTTTTAGTGTTAATGTGCAGGAATTTTCTAACCTCCCACTAACCCTCCAATTCTGTCCCCCCAGACTAGAAGATATCCTTGGATGTCCCTATGATTCAGTGGAGATCTTTGATGGCCCCAGGATTGCCTCATTGTCCATGGGGAAGTTCTGTGCTCCAGCAGCTGTGATATTTTTCTCCTCCTCAGATATCATGACAGTGGTGTTCCGAAGTGATTCCATGATAACCAACACTGGCTTTCATGCTCTGTTCAATGTGGTTCCACAGGGTGAAATCAAGTCAGGTAGGAATCCTTATGTAGCTTTGGATCTATAAGACCAGAAGACTTTCTAACTTGAGAGACTTCCCATTAACAGAAGTCTGGGATTGAGTTTTGAAAGACTGCTGCACTTAGCTTCATCAGCCCTGCTCCATAGGTGCTAGATTTTCTCACAGAGAGGGCCACATAGAAAGCTACAAGGGAATGATTTATACCCTGTGTTTAAATGGCCAGGCAGCTACCATTCATGGGGAAAACTGTAGGTTATGAGGGAAAACTAGTTTATGAAGGTCTTGGGACTGTGTCCACCAGCACTAGCACCAGCAACCTGAGAACTGTCCAGCACTCTGAAATATGGAAGGTCAACACTCCTAGGAGATTCTAAGCTTCCCTCTATCAGCTGGCCCATTTCAGACCTTGCATGCACTGGACTCTCAGTTCATGCAAATGAGAGGCTCTAGGACTTTTGTTAGCCATGGCATTATAGACCAGTGGTGGTGAACCTACATGTTCCATAGTAGGTACACGTGTTCCACAGTAGGTTCACAGAGCCATCTCTGTCAGCACATGAGCCAAGTACATGAGTTGTTTTTTCCAAACTAAAACATCAGTATTTAGGTTTAATTGCAGTGTTGGAACTTTGTGACAAATAAGTGGGTTTGGGGTTGCAGTTTTTGACACTTGGTCTCTAAAGTTTTGCCATCACTGCTATTGACAGTCACTCCAAAGCCAAGTCTAATACTCAATCTGCAAACACAATGCCTGACAACTGTGGGACTTCTGATCATCAGGGGCCCCTCCAAGAACCCCAGTAATTCTTTCAGGCTGCCAGGAAATCAAGTAGCATGTCTATGGCTATAGTTTTGGTTTGTTTGTTTCTCAGAATTTTCTGTACATGACCCTCAAAGATATATTTGAGACTCTGCTTCAAGGAAACTGAATGAACTCAACATTTAAAGTCCAGACCATTCGGTAGCTCAAGACTCACTTTACTCATCCAGTAATTTTTAAATAGGTCCTGTTATGTGCCAGGTCAGTTGTAAGTGTGGGGGGACCCAAAAAACAATACAACTCCCTGCAGTGTATTCTAGTGTGGATGTGAATAAGTATGGAAGGATCAATGATGACACAAGAAACAAGTAAACAAGCAAGATGATTTAGGAGATAGGATGATAAAGAGTAAAAATAATGCATGGTAATAAAAAGGCAGATGATATAGCAGAATGTGTCTGAATAGATGAGGTACTACTGTAGACTGGGTAGGAAGAGATGGGCCTGTATGAGGAGGTGACATGTAAGGAAAACAAGGGGCTTTCCACACAGAGGAAATATCAAAAGCAAAGGCTTTCTGAGGCAGAGTTGGACATACTGGATCAGCTGAAAGAAGGGAGGCATAACAAAGCCTGTGGGCACAGTGGGGAGTGGCTGTCCCTGGGCTGTCTCCAGGACACATCATGGAATTTCAACTGACCACAGCCCTTTTGTCCAGAAGTAGTGTCATTGGGCTTGATGAGGTCACAGTCACCTTGGTGATGCATTGCCTTTCAGATAATTAAATCTACACTTTTCCAAGACACATTTTTTTAAAAGTATCTAGGAACTTCCTTTCCAGTAACCAACATTTCAACCCAGACAGCCACATGGCAAGACCTGCATTAACCATGACAAGCTGAGTGCTTCGTGCACATAACTTTCATTGACTCACTCTTCTGAGGTAGATGTTGCTGAGGTCTTCCATTCTACAAATTAGAAAACGGAGGCCCAGGGAGACAAAATAATTGTTCAAAGGTCACACAGCTGAAGAGCAGTTTGAAACTAGGTTTCAGACCCAGTTCTGTCTCACTATAAAACCCTTAAACCTATTATGGAGTCAAGACACCTTTTAGGTTTTGTGCTCATGTTTGCCTTGGCCATGGCACAGGAGCCAGAAGTCACTTTTTATGTAAAACTCCCCAAACTCAAAAAATAAAATCTTCCTGTGTTTAGAAGATGCACCAGTGGTGCGGCTGGTGGGCAGCTCCAATCGGTGCTCAGGACGCGTGGAGGTCCTCCACCAGGGGACCTGGGGCACCGTGTGCGATGACCTGTGGGACCTGAAGGAAGCCGAGGTTGTGTGCAGACAGATGGAGTGTGGACAGGCAATTGCTGCTCCTGGAAAGGCCTACTTTGGCAGAGGTTCTGGAGACATTCTTCTGGACAACATCCAGTGTTCAGGAAGTGAGAACCATCTTGGCCAGTGTCCCAGCTCTGGCTGGTCAGACCACAACTGTGACCACCACGAGGATGCCGGTGTGGTCTGTTCAGGTACCCTCTCCACCAACTGTATATTCTTTGTACAAGAAATCTCAGTGATGAACGGAGGTCATGCACAGAACAGAGCCGGGGAATCTAAGGACAGTGGCCAACAGATGAACATCCTTTCAACTAGGTAGACAAAGACAGCTGAGAGACTGGCTGCTCTGGAGATGAATGCACCAGTTGTGCAGCTGCTTTTCCATAGAAAGCCATGTCCTTGTGCTTGCTTATGTAACACAAAGTCTGCCTGGTTGAGACATGTCTGCAGTAGAAAACCACTAGTTCTTTGTTTTCACAGGATTTGGATTTTTCTAAATTTACTTATTTTCTATGTATGCAGATGCTGGGAACTGGGTTTCCGATGTGACTCCTGCACCCTCAGGTAGGTCCGATGATGTATATTTCCATCTGTGCAAAGTTAAAGAGAATCAAACCTGTGTCCTGACATAGATCCTGATGGACAGTGACCAGGTTGGTAGACCAATTACTGATTTCCAATTATGGTTGCATGCAAGAATCATCCAGGGAGCTTCTGAAATTTCCAGTGCCCAGGCTGTACCCAGTCTGGTCACATCAGTTATATTTAAATCTCCCCCACATGATTCCATTGTGCAGCCAGGTTATACAACAGTGATTCACAAAAGGGGATAAGAGGCACATTTCCCAAATGGCATTAAGTGAAAAGAGGGGTTGATATGAGGAAGAGAGGAGGTGGAAAGACTTGTATCACAGGGATATAAATTACAAAATGAAATCATGCCAGAAAGCAAAGATGCATTCAGTGTCAAACTGTGGGCAGACTTATTATAAGAAGTAAACCATTTGGCCTCTTGTATGGACCTTTGACTTAGCCAACACAACAGAGATAGGACTCCTAGAACCTACTCAACATTGTTGTGCAGCACTAACCTTCCATCTAAATCCAACACACATATGTCCTACCCCCCGCCTCCTCCTGCTTCCCAGGTATGGGTTCTCAGCTGCCCTCTTCCCTGTCTCTGACTCCTGGGATCTTACATAGCTCCTCCTCCAAACTACCTAGTGATTGTTTCAATCCTGTGGCCCCGGTGGGAGGTCTGGGTAGCAGAAAGATATCAAAGTTGAAGGTACACTCTGTGGTGTTCCAGGACCCACCATGGAGGCTGGCAGTTGTCCCTACCTTGGGCTGGCAGCACCATTGCATATTTGGTGGAAACTCAGTGATGTCTCTTGCCCACCCTGATCCAAATTCTGGGTGCACTCCAGGCTGAAGGTCATCATTCCTTGAGGGTTGTTCAATTGCTGTCATATGGCACAGAGGACTGTGGGAAGGGAAGATTGAGTTCTGCACCCCTGGTTAATGCCTCACATTTTCATTTTTCACAGTACTCACAAATTATATAGCTGCTCTGGCAGGGAGGCAGGGCACATGTAATCCTTTTCCTGGGTCTAACAAGTAGTTAAACTCCCTTTGATTCCCTGTGGCTTTCCTCTTCTTTCTCAGTGAGGAATCCATTCTAGCCTGGTCCATGGAAGAGGAAGGCGTGGGAGCAGACATAGCTGGCTCTGTGCTCAAGTCCTCTTGGAGCCCTAGGTTTCAAACCTCAGAAGGCTTTTCTTTCTTCTCCCTACTGTAATCTAACTTTTCCTGAGGCAGAGATGCATAGCTGGCTAGAGAAGAGAATAGGTCAGGGGCTTTTAAAAACTATGGGAGGAAATGAAACCTTTTGTGTCTAAAACGGTCAATCCCACTCTAAGTGTTAATCCAGCAAACCACTTTTTGATAGACCATGATATACCTACCTACACATGGAAATCCAGGGCTTTTGCCATTTAATCATCTAAGGAGATTATTGTATGTATATCAAACATTGTAACAAAAGAAAATTGCTCCTGAGACACCTAGATTAGAATTTTTTTCTGCTGATGTCCAATATTGTCCTTGGCAAAGGACCAAGAAGAATAAGCAAGTGAGTAGTATCCATCACCTTCCCTGCTATGCCTCTTGCAGTGAGCTCGCAGTGGAGTAAGGCAATGAAGCTAAAAGAATTTTCAAACCACCTGACCTATCTACTTCAAATTCTTTCCCCACTAAACCCTTCATGTAAAACTCAAGCAGGTCAGGCCAGGGATTTAGCTCAGTAGTGCCGCCACCTGACTCACAAGTGCAAAGTCCTGAGTTCAATCCCTGGTACCAAAAAAAAAAACCTCAAGCAGGTACCAGAAATACAATGAACAGACTTTCAAAACTGGCCTGGCCTCAGCCTACCATATGTTAGGGATTGAGAATATGGAATATTGAATATTGAAATGTATACTATGTATAAATCAAATCCAACAAAACACATGAAAGAGAAGCATGCATTGGACCCCTCTACTGAGGCTCATCTCCCATCAGCAGAATACTTGTCCAGCTTACTCTTACTTCCTGGCTCTAAGATTTCTGTCTTTTGTCTTCCTGAATTCTGGCACTTGATAAACTTTTTAGGCACAGTGGCATAATCATAAGTCCAGTGATGTTACTGTGGGTACTTCCTAGGGACTGGTCAGTCTTGGAGCAACCCTGGGTTTGCTGGATTAACTAACAGCAAACAATAAGTTACATAGCTATGCATTGTTTGTTGAATCCACTGAAAGCAGGGGAGAGACATCATCTCAGATCAGGGAGAAAAGAGAAATAAATGAGTGTGTCAACACTATTAAAACTCAGAAGTAGTAATATGTACATTCATTTGTAATTAAGATATAAGATGATTTTATGACCCTAAGGTCTCTTCTGATTTTCTCTGGTTATTCTTTGTAGGTTCCATTCCTCAAGGCCCTGTACCACAAGGTAAACCTCTCTGTTGAAATTATGACCTGTAAAATATTGAGTGGAATCATTTGGGTAGCTCATAAAAGTAGAATAAACTTCAATCTGTCCCATCTGCCATGAGGGGAAAGAATAGGTATGCTGGACCCCTCACAGTTGGGTGGTTTGTCCACCTCTGAGTGGAGCTGTAACAGGAAGCTGAGAAGAGCATTAAAGAAGCATAGCTTGGATACCATATGCGTACTACATACAGTTGTCCAGTGTCATTTCCAGTCTCATCTACAATCAATTTTAGGGTCTTTCCTGCCAATCAGACATCTTTCACCCTCTGTCAGTGCTCTATCAGAGGAAAAACTGCTCACAGCAGCCAAACCATGAGTATGCCCAGACCAGTATAATCCCTTCCAATTTTGTGATTCCACTGTTGAACTTGGGATTCTGGGTTCTACCTGAAAAAATGCAAGGTGCATGCTTAAAGAAGCCAACCATAGGTTTTTCATTTTCTCTCACAGGAGGAAGTAACTCTTGTGGAGGAGTAATTTCAAGCCTCTCAGGCTCCTTCTCCAGTCCTTGGTATCCAACAAACTACCCCACCGATGTTGAGTGTGTCTGGGTGATACATGTGGCTGGGAAGTTCCACATAGAACTGAAGATACCGCGCCTGAAGTAAGCAGCTTTCCCTTTCTCTACTTTAAAGGCCAGAGTAGGTTTGAATCTGTGCTTTCTTCAAAGAGGTGGCCTTTCTGTGGGACAAATCCTTTCAATTTTAGGTGAGGACAGGTTTGGTCATCTAAGCTGTGGTAGTCCTTTAGACATTTAGCTCAATTTCTTTTTTTTTTCCCATTAAGTTTATTGGTACATTTTCGGTATAAAATACAGTTACATTCATCATTGGGATCTTGTACCTTCACATGAGTCTCTTGGTTCTTTTTTTTCCCCCTTCCCTTGCCCTCCCTTCACCTCCTCCCACCCTTCCCTAATTGCAAAGACTTTGTTTCCATTTTTTTCCTTTTCTCAAATTTTTTCTTTTCCCTTTTTTCCTTTCCTCTACCCCTCCCACTTCCCCTGCTCCTTTAAACCTTTACTTCCTGTCACACAGTATCAATTATACATTTTTTAAATTACAATATCAAGATCTAGGAGACATTATCACAGATTTTACAGAATTTAAAAGGATATAGAAAGCATATT